CATCTCCATTTAGCCACAAATTCTTCTCAATAGACACGGGGAAACAAATGACCCCATTTCAGACGTAATGGATTTTAGCGCTGACTTGTTGTAAAACCTCACAGCGTGTCGGCCAAATTATGAGATAAGATAACTATTAAATTGAGGATTCTGTCTTCTGCAATGAGAATCAACGACTTATTTTCTGTATTAGCTAATGGTTCGCTCTGTCTCAGGTTTGAAGCTTGCCAAGACAATTGAGTCTGAGTGCTGTGTTTTGTAATAGTCTGAACTCGAGTGGCTGATTCATTCACTTAGCCCACTCATTATCACGTGGATCTGTCCTCCTGTGAGACCAGCATCTATATTTGGTGTCTAATACAGCCATCAATAATGCTATATATTATGAAAAGCATCAAAAGAAGACCTTGACTGCACAATAATAATGCAAAAGAATCAGTAAAGGGATATTTTTTTCCGTCCCCTTTGTCCATTTCTCTTTAAAAGTTGCAGTAGTAAGGATTATCCTTTCTAATTTAAAAAAAAAAAATCATATTTCAGCCATTTGCCTCTGAGCCAATTATTCCATCTTCTGCATATTTTACACATGCCTGTTGTCCCAGATTCATGAAAAAGCCTCTTGGCTGGTGCCATGTCAAAGAATTAAGGAGAGAAATTGTAAAAAATAAAATAAAGTGCATTAATCTCTGCAGGGTTCAGAAGAGAAAGTAAAAAGCAAAAGGCGGGCTGTTTGTAAAGTTGAATGGCTCTTTGGTTTTGAAGAAAGGTCAGCACAATAATCTGGTCACGTTTTCATCTCAGCTTCTGTCATGCCTCGGAGCTTCCTGGCATTCTACTGAACTCAGACAGTTGTCTGGCCTCCAAGTCTCTGCACCTCGGCTGTGTAGAGGACCATGCAGACAAACACTCTCCTCTCTATGTCCTGTTCCCCCCTTCTCATTCTTCCTCTAATAAAGCAAAAACAGTAAAAACACTTGCCATATTTTTGTACATTCATCATCATTTTGATTCAAAAAGTATGATGTAACGTTTTCATGTGCAGACACAACACTTGAGAGGAAGGGCTTATTATCATCAAAGTGGAGGAAGTGCCAGCAGGCCTGCACCTCATCTGTTGTTTTTCTGCTCCTCATGCTTTAATGATCAAATGCCCCCTGGTGGTTCAAATCAGTCATGTGCATTTTCATCTTCTTTTATCCTTCACTACTTCTTGTTGTGACATCTTTGGAACCGTTATTGTGTTTTCCTATCTATTAACAAAGCTTTCATCTTAAAAAAGTTACCTGAATAATAGAACGTCTTTTTTCAGCAGCAGGGGATTCACAACGGGTGCCACTAGATACCTAAACGCACTGGTGCACAGTTTCTAGTACAATTTTGAGGTATTTGTGCTTTACTTGAGTATTTCCATCTTGTTCTACTTCACGTTTCTATAAATTTTTAATCCACTACATTTATCTTACGGCTACTTCAAATCAATATTTTGCATTAAAATGCACAAGATCAACTTATAAAATACAATGGATTGTTAAATATTAAACCAGTGGTTACCAACCTCTTTGGCTTGTGACCTCTTTTAAAAAAAGTGTGCCTAGTTGGGGCCCCTTGTTACATTTCAGATGTCTATGACTTGTTAGGAGAGATATTTCCTCTCTAAACTTCTCAGATGTTTTCGTAACTGTATATTAAGTTGTTCAAAGTAGCTTAATCAGCAGTAGGAGTTTTCCTGCAGAAATTGTACTTTTACTTCGGATACTTTAAGTACATTTTGCTGTTAACATTTCTATACATTTACTTCAACAGGATGTTAAATGCTAAGTTCTTAACTAAAAGATTTGATGTACTTCGTCCACCACTGCCTGACTGTAAACAGTACTGTGCCACCCATACATCAAATGTCCGCCTGAGGCATGAAAGTAAACTTTGTTGTGTGACACATATTGGAAAATAATGGATGCTGGTGGCCTAGTTTTGGGAAAATAAGCCATTATAATTGTAAACCATGTTTTGTCTTCCGAGCTGCCACAAAGCAGTCTGCTGGGAGAAGCTGTTCGTGGAATGGTCACAATCTGTATGCCTCAATCAATATTCTTCTACATGAAACACACAAACCCGACGAGGGACATATCCCTTTGTGAGCCAGTGAACATATAGGGAACTCTGAATCAACCATGTCAGGAGATATACTCTAACACTCCCCTGAGAGGCCTTCTCATGCCAGAACAAAAGGAATCATTCTTATGTAACCAAGCCTGTAAAATCAGAGGGATAAAAGCCCTGAAATCTATCAATCACACGGGGCACTGACACACCCATCATCACAGAGGAAACAGGGCTGAGAAGGCTGAGCAGGGAAACCAGATAGGCCTCTAAAGTAGGCCATAAACTATTCATTCTGTTGTGATGCACTGACACCTATCAGGTGTGACGCAGTCTGTACTGATTTCACCTGCCTTAGCCTCTGCTCGTCTTTACGGGAATCACTGCTGGCTGAGGCAACGGCGACTCAGATTGCTCAGAGGGAAGACTGGCTCCATGCATATTTCATGAAGGTAGTCCAGTTTTGGGATAATTCATCAGCTGATTGAGGAAAGCTAGTGACAAGTGACCAAGAGTTACACTCTATACCAGAAGGGATCGCTGTAGTTTTTAAAAATGTATCAGTGTAGTGCCTTATTAATTGTCCCCCTGTAAGGACTTTGCGAGTTATCTATCCAAACAGCCTGTGTAATCCGTTGTTAAAAGTCTCCACTCAGGGACAAAGAGCGGCAACAAGCTTGTAATTGCAAATAAAGAAGTCAGCCACAGAGTGGGATGATCAGTACTTTTATTAAAGTGTATAAAACAAGAAAACACTCCAGTTCACGTTGTTGTTTTAACACACTCACAATTTCAGTCTCTCTCTCTCTCTCGTTTTGTTAACCTAATCCCATGCATTTGCTCAACTCTCACACTTAAAGGTGCTTTATTCATAGTGCCAGGTTTATAACGCCACTCCATAAATAAACCACATGAAATTGGCAGTAATCATTGACTCACTAATTAAACTGAGGACATGCTCAGAAAAGGCAGCTGCTTTGTCTTCCTCTACCACACACACACAAACACACACACACAGTATATAGATTCTTAATCAAGTGCGATAGTTCACATTTAGATTGAAATTCTGTATGCATTAATAATGGTCTTAAATTCATTAAACGCATCAGTAAGGAATAAATCAATCCATTTGTGTATTATTAAGCTTGCATTCAATATTAATAGAGATGATGAAAAGCATGAATTTTACCATTTGATGTTGGTTTATTGCAATCCAATGCAGCAAACCCACAAACAACCCTACACTGCAATCTGCAACAAACACATTTTCATTATAAATTCATATTATTATGTGGATTGATGATGATTATTTTCTTAACTGATTAATTGTTACATCAGGAAAATAATGAAAAAATGTCCACCGCGATTTCCTCAAGCCTGAGATAATATATTCATATCCAAAACATATTCAGTTCAGCAAAGTCTGTAACCATCAAATTATTGCTGATTTTGCTAGAAAAATTTAATTTTCTAATAATTTCTGTTCCAGACTTAACAAAACAAAAAATTGCAAACTTCACAAAGGTTGTGTTTTTGCAGAGCTACTGTATTGGATTACATTATATTGTACAGTTGTTGCTGTCACTGTATCAATTAGCTGTTCACAAGCATTGAATGCTGGTGTGATGTTTGATGTTGTAGCACCAGTTAGACCTGCTTTATTGTGCATGCGCTTATTTATAGCATTTCCAGTAGTTCTTAATGAGGCTTTGAAAGCACTGATTTTAAGCAATTTAAGCAATTATATGGCACCTGATTCTTGATGTTGTGGAAATGGTCAACATGTCCTGTTGTTTTTGTTTTTTTTACCAGAGGGTGTTGGTGGATTATCTATCACTTGTTTTTGAAATGCTGTCAACAGATCAACAACAGACATGATAAATATTCAAGCTTTAAAACTTAAAGGAATAGTTTGACATTTTGGATTAAGCACTTTTTAATTTCTTATAGAGAGTTAGAGTGGAAGATGCCACTCTCATATCTGTCTGTTCAGTATGAAGCTGCAGCATGGAAAAAGTTAGTTTAGCTTAGCACCAACAATACACATAACCCCTGTAAAACCACAACTTAAAATGGATGTAGTCTCTGTGATGTCACTCATAGGTGATATAGGTGCTCCGAAGAACTGTTGTGAAACGCAGTGTGGTTGGCTCTGGCCGTTTCCAACTTGGCTCCCACTAATCCAAAAATGGGCAAGGATGTGGAGCGTGGGGCGGGCCAAATGAAGCCTTTTTGCTGAAATCAGCTACCTGTTATAGCATCCACCTGTCACTCACAGCAGCCACTCTCTTAATTATGCATAACTTTAATTTGTAATATAATTAAAACGGGTGGATAATTAATCCCCTGTACGGTTGTCATGAGCGAATTAGAGACCAAAACTGCTGTTTATACCAGGCTGTAAACATGTTTATTTCTGCTTTGAAGTTGGATCATAATAATTGATTGAAGTTATGGATATCGACTCGCTTTTGGAGCCAGCCTCAAGTGGCCATGTGAGGAACTGTAGTTTTTGGCACTCCAGCGTTGGCTTAATTTTTCAGCCACAGAGGTTGCCACTTGGTGTTAATTAGTGAACTTTAGAGGAACTGGTAGGCTGATTTTGTTACTATCGGACAGAGCTTTTTCCTCTGGTTTCCAGGCTTTATGCTAAGCTAAGCTAACTGGCTGCTAGCTGTAGCTTAATGTAGCATACAGACTTGCGAGTGGTATAAATCTTACTCTTAGCAAGAAGGCGATAAATCACATTTTCCAAAATGCCAAACTATTCCTTTAATACATTAACATATAACCAAATGTACACAAATGATAAAAATAACATTAGATCAAAGAACTGAACTGCAAATGAAGAACCTCAAGTCTTCACTCCACTTTTTTTTTTAAATCTCTGTACCACTGGACTAATTGTTGTTACACCTGTGGTAGTAGCTAAATACGGTGTTGTCTATCCACCTGCGATACTTGGACACAGTGGTGTAGACTCCAGGAAACTGGGCATCAGCACATCCTTTCCCCCAGGACACCACACCGTAGACCCGGCCGTCACATACAAGCGGGCCCCCAGAATCTCCCTGAAACAGCATGAAAGAAGGAAACATCAGGGATGACTTCCAGACTTTCTACAAGAGTCAGGTTTTACTGAACAAGAAATTTATTCTGTATTATTTTTTTAATAATTTTTTATTGTCAACAAATTCCATAAAAAGTCAACAGAATTGATACAACAATAGTATTGTTTGTGAAATAGTATGTTCCTCTGTGCCAAAGACCTTTATTGTTGTTTGTTGCAATGGGTGACCTGTTCCTTTATGTCCATGAACACACAGTGTAGTTTATTTAAACTCATTTCCACATACAACATCTTGCTGCTGTAAACACTCACTATTGCACTAAATGCTTATTAATCAACAGCTGAAAATAACCTCCAACAAATGCAAATTTTACTCCTGTTGAGTAGCCTTTACTAAAAACTACAGTTCCAAGCTATTTTAGGCAATTACTTTATTACTTTATAAAATGACACTGCGTGCAAACTTAAGACCAGTGGTGGAAGAAGTATTCAGATCTTTTGTTCTCCTTAAGTACTGCACTTGAGTAAATGTACTTGGGTACATTCAACCATTGTTTATCACATTTTTTAAGATTTTCTAGAAGTAGAAAGAAATGCACTTTAAGCTGAGTGCCAGAGACAGGGTAGCGAAGTCAGAATGAATTGAGAGACTATGTGAGCCTTATCCTTTACAAGGAGGTCATTTTGTAAATGTAGGAGAAAGGTCTTGTTTTGAAGACAAAATAAAGTTGTATCTAAGAATACAAATTGAGGAAAATGTCAAATAAAAAAATATTAAGATTTAGATACAAGTCCCAATTTGGGCAGTTTCTTTGCTTTTTAATCAGACAAATATCTAGTCCCAATTTAAAAACAAGCTGCTTTTATGAAACTACTTTTGTTAAAATGGTAACATATCCATACACTGAGCAAAAACACTTAGCTCCTCTTACCTGACAGGCGTCCTTTCCACCTGCACTGTAACCTGCACAGAGCATGTTTTGTGTGATGCTGCCGTTGAAGGACTCACTGCTGTTGCATTTTTCTGTGGAGACGATGGGGAGCTTGACAGTGCGGAGGGTGGAGGGTATCTGGCCTCCACTGGGGCTGGTGTAACCCCAGCCTGACACTCGACACACTCTGCCCTCTGCTATTGTGGCGCCCTGCCTGGGCAGCAGAGCGATGGAAACGTAGCCGTTCAGATAGACCGGGGCCTTCAGCTGGAGAAACGGTGGACAGTGTGATCAGTAAAAAGACTGATACAGAAGAAGAAGAAGAATACTTTGTGCACTCTACCTTGATAAGCATAATGTCATTGTTGTTGGTGGTGCTGTTGTACTCGGGGTGGGGAACCAAAAGATGAGGCAGGATTTCTTGCTCTGTGCCCTCATAGATGGTCAGAGAGTAGTCCCCTGCCACTATCATCATTTTATTTACCCTGCAGAGATAAAAGCAAATTAGAGTCACCATGTTGTAATTCAGTGATAATATGTTAGCTTAAAAAATTCTCATTTATCTTAATCTTTTTGGGATCTATATATAAGTATATTTTTTCACATCTCATCTACAGGAGAGAGCTGAAGGGAAACTGGCAGTTTGTTCCAGAAGTAAGAAAACTCAAAATCCCATTGATATTAGGCTAATAACTAAGGACGGTAGTTTCTTGAAAGACAATCTAGTATAATTGTTTGTTCTTTAATGAACACAATTTCACATAAGGCCTAGACATTCACAGGCTAAGTGTGATTTAATGTTGTTAAAATCATGCAGGTTTCATTTTTTTTATAACAAATGCTGTATGCCAATTTGTCTTAGCATTTAGAAAGTAAACCCCAGGTAAGTACTGAAAGACTGATTAAAGAAATGTTGAATGAGAGATTGCACTGATCTAGCTCACACTTGATGTCAGGACTAGGATTCTCTATACAACTTTGTCCAGAGTAAATTGAATATGGTCCAAGCACTGAGTTAGAAGTAAATTGAGAAATACAGAGCAGATCAAACTCCGATTAAACATTGGACCATGACAACCCAGAACAAACATACTTTTATAATGTCCTTCAGTTCTAAACCAACAAGCTGATAAGATTATACTACCTAATCAACTACTAGATTTCCTGGCTACTGTAGATTATGTGTTGTAGTTGGATAAAAAATTAAAAACATAAGATACAACAATATACTAGAACAATATTATACATAAGAAACATACTAAAAAAGCAAGATACATGAAAACAAAACTAAAACAACTAAATAAATTATATCATTATTTAACATAACTGTTTTCTATTTCTCTTATATATTTTCTTTTTCTCTGAATTAGTGATAAATGCAACTGCAAAGTTCATATTTTATTTTGATCACTGCCATTCAGCTTCTTTCACTGCACACAATTTAACTTGTCATAGAAGGAAAAGCACTGGTGTAAGTAGTGGCAGTTTAATGGTTCTGGCTCTATTCCATTTGGGTGTTGCAGGAAGCTGTGAGAGTGAACCATCATGCACAATATCAGGTTCTTGGAACTGAAAAACTTGACTTGAATTCAGCCTTTTATTAAAGTTAATAATTACACCTCCTTTTCTTTGCTATGATGTAAAAATGCCACAACAAAGGTCCACTGGGATGAAAGTTGGTACTGTATATTGCAACAATACAATCTTAGCTTAACACATTGTCAACTTGTGAAGCTGTTGCAGGAAAGCTTGTTAGCAACCAGCTTACACACACACACACACCAGCAGTTATAAAGCAACATTAATCTTCATTTGAAGTCATGTTTTTTGCCACCTGACAAATATTAGTTCAATATTCTCTCCTCTGGCTCTGTTTTTCTCTAGCTACATGTTCCACTATGTTCCCCAGCTAGACACTAACTTTGTCTGGTTGACAGCAGTGAGCGTGAATCAAAATAGTAAAGTTGCGGGCTGTAAAACCAAAACAATGAGATGAAAGATGCTAAAATCCTGCATGGAGCTAATGGGAACTATGGAGTAATACATTCAGTCTGGCCCATTGTTAATATAAAGCTATTTAGTAGAGCAGCTTGAACTCTTCAGCATGTTTTTGTAGCAAATTACAAGCTAATTTATATGCTCACATACACATAAACATACACATACAAAACCATTGCAAACAATGGTAGATTTTCTTTTACCATGAAAGGCGAATTGAATGCGTAGTGTGACACCATTGTATTCTACATCATTGTTTCTCAACTTTGAGGGGGTTTCAGAGCATCCGCAGAGAAATGGGGAATATTTTAATCTTAATATTATTTCATTGACTAGACATTAGCCCAATGAGAGAATGTATAAGAATGACTATTCTGTTCATAGGTTTCACACTCTTGACTGTTAATCTGCCAATTTACACTATAGTTATGGAATAACTACAATTTATCAAACAGGTTTGATTCCTGAGACCACCTCTTATCAAATATGGGTCAGTGGCCTGATGAGTTTCAATTTCTTCAATTCGAGAGTTCTTGACACCAAAAAGGTTGAGAATGACTGCTCTTTATGACTTTAGGTTTCTCAAGTGTATGAATAACAATGAATGAATATGAATATTGTCCAGAAAAATGCAAAGGGCTCAATAGTTACTTGTAGTGAATTGTGACACAGCAGAGGGAAAAGCACATCAGTCTACTCCGTTTCAGAAAATAGTGAAAAATGTCCAACACTATTTCCAAGGTGATGTCTTCCAATGTTTTGATTTGTATAACCAACCTTTGTATGAAATGATAAAGTAATCTGGACAATATTACTATTCCATCAAAACCTATTTTCTTTTGCATATTAATATAATATATATATACATAAAGATAAACTACTAACTGCTGTTAAGTAGGAACTTGACTGACAATCCAGTATATGTCATACAATGAAAGCCCAGTATCAGTTTGTTGTAACCCCAGAGTCTGGAAATAAACACCAAACACAAACATTGTCTGAAATTATTGCTTCCTTACGAGCCAAACTGTTTGTAATCTATATGAAAGTGTGTTGTCAGTGAGCCTTACGACCATAATATGCTTGTGTCAGATTTCAGCACCACAGAGCTCCATTGTTACCGGTGAGCTTGTATCACTTTCTTGGGCTTTCTCTCAGCCCTGATAACTTGCACAGTTTACTATCTGATATGGCTCGAAATTACTGGATCTTCTAATGCAATCCTGTATACACACATTTACACGCAAAGAAGTCAAGTTGAGATCATCACATGTCAATAGGCCTTTTATTGTCTGCCTACAACTTCCTTACAGAACGCTAAATCAGGACACAAAGGTGTACACTGTTATCTGGGGTTTGTTTACCAAGTTTGTGCTTCTGCCTGAGGTTAACTTTTATACTCAGTAAAGGAAAATCAAAAGAAGAAGAATAAGCTCACCCAACGTTACAGTGTGCCGCTGTGACTACCCAGTACTTATTTATCAAGGAGCCTCCACAAAAGTGCCGACGCTCTGTTGTCTGTATCGACACAATGTACTTGATTGAATGTGGAACTGGTGCGTATCCTCCAACAATACGTGCTTGTGGCACATCTTGACCTGCGACACACACAGAGGGGAATAAAGATGAGCTTAGACGGGATTCGGAGAGACAAACACGCAAAACAATCTGAGTTTTTTGCGGGGAAAAACACACACTACTGCAGCTGCAGTGTCAGCAAGAACAATGCAAGTCATAAAGAAAACAACAGCAGTCGACTTCACTGCACAGATGTTTCCCAGCAGATCAATGAAAAGCAATCTCATCTCTGAGGTACATTGATTCACAGTGAGGATGAGTCTGACCATCATTATCTATCTGATGTTAACACTCAGTTTGGGGATGACACAATCACTTTATTTGGATCTAATAAAATAGTTTAAATTACCTCCAACTTAACTTAATACATCACTGAAAAACAAAAGTTTCGTCATACTAATAATTGAATCGTATAATGTACATAGTGTAACATTCACACGCGCCATTTTTCTGAATTTGTAAGTACTTACTGTTGCTGATAACACTTACATACTTTTACTTAAGTTATATTTTCAATGCAGGTATTTAACTTGTAAAAGTAATGTGTGATTGGTATTTTTTTAAGAGATGCAAAGGACTGAAATGGATGAGCCCCTTAAAATGTGTTTTACCTAGACTAAAACAGAATTAGACTAGAGCAAAATAGTAACTCTATACAGTATTCTGGGTACCTCATGGACTGGGTGTGTGTGAGATAAACACACACTAAATGAACATTAGAAAGTGTTATGTAATAACCTTGGAATTGAACCTTGAAATAATTGGTCTCTTATTGTGTGTCCTATTGTGCTCGACTGTACATTGTAGCAGGTGACTGATATGTAATTTATTGTTTACTGCTAATGTAGTTAGCCATTAATGTAGGCATATCTATTTTTTTCCCATAGGCTGTCCATATTTTCAAAACAAGGTCTCCAGCATTGTCCCAGATCCTAAACCTGTTTTAAGATGTTTATCATAGTCTCCTTTCACCTTTTAGCTTTGCGACCAGCACAAAAGGGGGTGTTGGCCACAATTACTTATTGTTATTTTCTTTTTAGCCATCATCTGTTCCTGAGGTTTCAAATTCTTTTGGTGAATAAGCACACTTTTACTGCCCTTTTCATTTCAAAAGATCTTTATCTCAAAAAGATATCTTTGTTGCAACATTGTGCATGTTATCGGGACTTTAAACAATATCAGGAATTCTACCGAAGTTTTAAATGAAACTTTAATATGTAAACAAGAAGATAAGCAAATTCAACAAACTGTAATCAGGTGTATTTGGCAGAATACAGCCTTTTATCACAGATGTGTCATTGCAAAGGACTTTGAAAAGACAAGCCAAACTAGATCTTACAAACATCACAAAATAAAATTATGCTCCGTCCATCTTTTAATCTATGTCTCCCTTTACCCTATTACTCTGCTAGTGTGATTTATGACTTAAAGCAGGCACAAGCTCTGTCATTGCCAGATGAAAATGGCTCTGGGTCACACTTTTTGTCAAAAGACTATCTCAGGGGAACATCAGGATCAGAAGCCACAGCTAAAAGGGATCTTTTAAAACATTGATAGAGGAGATACTAACAGGGGTGTAGTGTTAAATAGAGTTTGCTGTAGGGTTAGATCTAGATCTACAATTCCTCTGAATCAACTCTCATTTCAAATAGATGAATAAACTTCATAATAATATATCAGACACACATTCAGCCTCTTTAAACTGTGAGTTTTTTGTTTTTCAGAATGTTAGACCGCCTCTCAGCTTTCCTGTCACTGTAACCCATAGGCTTAACTTATCTTAAACCCCTTCTGTGCATAAATAGATGAACTGTAAATTCAAGTTAAAGAGGCTTACTTACAGTTCACAGCCAGGACTTCCAACAATATACAAAGCAATAAAGATGGCAGGTCCATAGTGAGACAATGGGGAGGACAGTCTACACGCAAAGAGAGACCTCACCTGTGTGCTACTCGTCTAATCTTAATGGGAAGGCATCGCTGCACTCTCAGGTTTCTTTTAGTTCCTATTTCCGTTTCCATGGTCACCTCCTTGTCCTGGACCAATATATAATTGAAGCTTCTACAGCACGGCCCCTTGTCTCACGTCTTCCATGACTCAAGGTGCCCTATACCTCTGTAATTGTTTATAGAATCACACAGTTTACAGAAGGCCCATTCACTGTCACGTAAAAGGCAAAGCGTGCACTATGTGCATTGTGTTGTCATCATTCTGAGTGTCAGGACCTTCTGTGGAGTTTATCATGTCATTGTGCTGCTACTCTGATGCCCTGTCAGCTATGTCCAATATCTGACATCTTTCAGCTTGTGATTGTAGCTCTTAATGTAGATCAAATGGGCAGCTGTCATCCTAAATGAAAGCAGATACAGTAAGGGGTCTCTGCATCTCTTCATCATTGTACAATCTCCCCTCACTGATTTCCCCAGGAAGTATTAACAAGGGTTTTTGACTGATGATAAGCAGCAACACCTTCTTTGTGTGCGACCAGATCGAGGCAGAACTGCTGCTCCACATCTATTCTAGAGCTGGGTGTCATTAAAAATGGAGCACAGCTCAGGCAGGTCTCATCACTGCTACCATCCCTCTGTGGAGTTCCTGACCTTAGCTGGCTAATAGCCCTCTCTGTTGCCCTCCATGCTGCTGATAGCTACAGCCGTGCTCTTGGTACCTCTCACATCCCCTGAGTGCTGACCACTGCCTTTTTTTCCACACGACCCACTCCTCAGTCCAAGAGCTGTCATCACTGCACATTACTGCCAGCTCTCACATTCATCTATCAGGCGCTGGATTGAAAAGTTATCTGTACATCACAAACCACAATGCTCTAATCCCTAAAATCTCCTTTCTGTTTTAATACACTGACTTTTATATCACTTAAGTTCATTATCAATAGAGGTTTTCCTTCTTTTGGTAAGTTGAGAGGCTTTTAATTTCTAACAGCACAGCAGTATTTGATGTTATTACATGTGAAGATTATCATGGTCGACACATTTCTTGAATGATTTAAATGTACTTAAAGATTGAAAGTTGTCTGTTGTAGTCGTTTTAATTACTGACATGAGAAAACTGAAGTCACTTAAAAAATCATTAATTCATGACTTTGTAACATGTTACACTGGACAGGAGACATTTAGATCATCAGATAATCTTGGTTTACAGTCTTTAGACTGGGGTGTCACTGATGTCTTATCGGTGCCGGTATCAGTAATGGTCCCAGTGACTCAGCACAGGTTTCCTGATCAAATCTTATGCAGTTCCTTCTTGGAGAAAAGTTGATAGTTAAAGATCCAAATCTGTTCAGCTCGTCAAAAGGAGGATTCCCGTAATTGATTGAGTAATATTGCTCAATCTCATAATATTGGGTGTTATACCAGTATAGTATTACAGGAAAGTAATTCCAGTGAAGTTAACTGAAGTAAACGTAACAATACCACAATGTAGAAATACACGCAACACGTCTTTATGCCGCCTCATTTCATTGATTTGAAGGGGAATCCGACCCAGTGGAGGAGCTCATGTAGAGGTATGAAAGTATGAAATTGAAACTCCTTGTAGTAGGTTTAAGTAAAAGTACAAAAGTACTAGCCTCAAAATAAATATAAAGCACAAAATTAAAAGAACTAATGATCCAGAATGGCCCATTTCAGATTATATTATTGGATTAGGTGGTAATTATTGATGCATCACTTTAATGTTGCGGCTGGTAGTAGTAGGGATTTCATCAAGTCTCATTGTATCTTAACCAATAATCATCATCATCATCTGTTCTTTGTTGAATAATTTTGTATCAATAATATAAATGCAAACTGATTAGTTACATGAATTATCAAATGAATGTAGTGGAGTAAAAGGTTTAACAAGTAAGAAGTTAAGCTTCTGAAACATAGTTGACATTGGCATGTTTTGTAAATTCACAATTTTTTGTGAAATGTAATTTAAAAACTTTGCCGGTTTACATAACAGCATTTATGTTTGTAATGTTTGCAACTTAAAAGGTTTATCTAAATCAATAAATGAGAATGTTTATCTTGCAAACATGCATTTAATTAAGTGGTGGTAGTAGTAAAAACAATTCTCTAAAAGAACTAAATTGTGTGCAACAATCCGTTTTAATTCAGTGATGTGTAATTCTCCACTTTGTAATCATTACATTACAACTAAATGTGAGCTGGAGCAACCAGCCCCTGGGGTAGCTGACGTCCCAGGTGAATTCGTTAGCGCTGGGTGTTGTCTGCTGGTGATTCCTGCAGGCTGTCACAGTGAAGAGTAACTGCTGCTCCTCCCTATTAAAGAGGACCCAGCTGAGGTGATTCAGGCATGTGATCCCGATGCCTTCTGACACCTTATGTGTCTGTCACCTCGCTGTGGAGGAGGAGGAGGAGGAGGCAGACACAGAGCACACCAGAAGTATTACATATGTTCATTGCCTGAATTGGCCTAAAAATCTAATTCAGTGTTTTTTTCATAGTGTTATGTGAGCTAGGTGTTTACACAGAGACGTGTTATGCGGGCATTAGGTGTACCTCACCAGTATTGATGTACGCAGGGTTTTAGAACCAAAAAAACTGAACTTGATGTGGTACTGAGTATCCCACTCAGTACTGGTGAGTACCGCCCCATTTCAATCATTGCCTACGTTCCCGGGAATGCCTCAGGTCCCTCAGTATGACAGGTGGCTTTAGATCTTGGTTACCTTTTGTGAGTCTATGACCCTGCAGTACAAAATGTTTAGAAATTACGATTTATTGAGGTAATATATGCTTACAATATAGGCCACCAGGCCAAGAATCTGATATTAGGGCCTACTTTTTGGTCCATAACAGTTTCTAATACTCTGCTATGAACACAGTATAGTTGGTCCTATGAAGGCATTGAGATTCAACAGCGTGTCTCCCAGCAGGAGCATGTAACTCATGTTTAAACCAACATTTTACTGGCTCTTGTGTTACCCATTTGTCATGTGTCGTGCAATGTTCATCATTTTATAATATCATATACATAAAATTATGTGCAGTATATAAGTAAAGTAATATTGTGTTCAGAATATAGTTAGTTCCATGTTCTGAGATCAGATGAACCCTGTTGGGAGCTTAAAGCAACCAGTTTCAAGTAGATATAAAGCATTCAGGATCTTTTAATTAGAACATTTAATTAGAAAATATAAATCTGCAAATATTAAAACACTTAAAAAACTTTACTTCAATTAATTATTTTAAAAGCTATTTAGAAATAATGATATATAGATAAATCATTAAAATAGGTAAACCTTACTAAATAGTAGTATCAGTTTAACAGGGAAAATTCTAAACGTTTTTATTCCTATTACTGTAGTATTATCAGGCCTATTTGAAAATCACTGAAGAATCCATTTCTGTGTAAAGTTTTGACGGTATAGTCAAACCATATATGTGTAACAGTGTGATACTTTTGTGAGTTTCTGCACTAATGTGTATAACAAAACCAGGGCATACAGTAGAACTATTGCGTGTCAATCCCTGGCAGCCTATTGTAATGGGTAGAACAGAATGTACCGCAGTAAACCGAGAGCAATTAAGCCTAAATATCCTTCCGAATTACCTATATGTGATTCATATTCATATTCATATAGATTTCAAAAGGGATGTTAATAAAGGGATAACATCTTTTACCTGGTTTTAATCTGTGTTCTTTATTAAAAACAAAGGAAAAAAGTATATATGCAAATAAAATTGTCACTCTGGCTTTTCTTTATTATATGAAGGCACACAAGAATACTCTCATTATGGCAAATTAACCATCTGAATTTCATCCCATCAAAAAGGTTATAAACATTAATTCTGTAAATAGCCTGACTGTGTAGAGGCGTTCCCATCCCAAATACCTTCATATCCCAAGGTGCAAGCATAAAAGTAGAGCTTAGAAACAAACATAATACAAGAGAACGCATCAGCTTTGTCATGTAGTAGGTCAGATATATTGTTGCAGCGTGAGATGGTACAAAACCAGACGAAAAGATAATTTAAACAAAAGATTTGGACAAGGATACAGTTACGCTATATAAGGCCACAGGAGAGCATTGGTGCCACCAGTTGCAGATACAGTGAAGGCTGCTGTTTGGGCTTACAGGTGAGTAGAAGGTGATTCTAACCCTTTTTGTTCAAAATTAATGATTATAATATTCAGTGGTCAGCCAGATTTCAGGTTAAGATGGTTTTTTTCAACAACAACAACAGAAACAAAAAACATTTTTTTTAGTGTAATATGTGTTGAAGTTGTATTAGAATATTCCTTTAGTACTCTTGTTTTAAAATGAAATAATGACACATTAAATTGAGACATTTCACACACTTGAAAATTAGGATGCAAAGTTGTACACATGTACAGCCTATTCCCAAAACTCCATCATTTGGAATAATGAGTTTTTACACAAAGATTGTCAGAGTAATTAAAATGATTGCCACATACTGTTTATATAAGCCGCTAAAAGTTATGTTTCTGCATTACAGATGACAACTAAAAATATGGCTACAATGCTATGTTCTACAATGCTGTTGCTTTTGTCTTTGGCAGTATCAGGTGAGTTCCTCAATCCCAATATTTTAATCCTGGGTGCATAATAAAATGTATGAAATCCTAGACTCAAGATATAGAACCATGTTGAAAGGGACTTTTACAGAGCACTGGCTGAAACGAGGGCAAGAACAGAAATGTATCCACATGAAGAGTAATGAATATTCAAAATCTTTGGTGACGTGGCCTTAAGACTGCCATCAACCTCTCTTCTGCGGTGAATTAAGATTATTAAGACCATAGAGCGTGAAATATGGCAGAAATTTGACTTTTTTTTGTAAACCAGAAGATTTAAAAGACACCTGTTTTCACTATTCTGCAGAGACATTTACAGCGAGGATCATTGGGGGTCAGGAGGTCCAGCCATACTCTATCAAATATCAGGCATCCCTGCAGACTGAGAAGTTCCAACACTACTGTGGAGCAACCTTAGTGCACCCTCAGTGGGTGGTGTCTGCTGCCCACTGCTGGAGGCCGTAAGTACTGACAGTTACAGTGATAACATGGATGTTCTGAGCAGTGGTGGAGGAAGTATTCGGATTCTTAATTACTAACACCTCACTGTAAAAATACTCCATTACAAGTAAAAGTCCTGCACTGAAAATATGACTTTAGTGAAAGTATGTGAGTATAATCGGGAAAATCTACTTAAAGTATTAAAAGTACTTATTGCAGAAAAACCACCTCTGTGATTGATTACATCATTCTATTCTTATGACTTGTGCATTAATTTGTAGTTGACTGGCGTGGAGTTGAGTTTAAACTATTTTGTAAACGACTGCTGCTGATTATTTTCTCCATTCATTGATTGTTTGGTTTGTAAAAAATGTGTAACAATTATTAAACTAGTTTCCAATTAATTTTTTTTCCACCTCAGTGTTCAAAA